CAGTTAAGTTAAAATCCAAATTTAATTATTCATACCATAAATTCACTTTAAAAAATTGACTTCTCCAGTTATGTTTGTTTACACTTTCCAGGCCCAGTGAAACACAACTATTTAGTTTAACTTTTGTTTATAGTCCGTTTCATGTTGACTCCTATAGTTAAGCACAATTTGAGTTTGCAAACAGTACAGTGAAATGCTTGCATCCAAACTCCATAAACAGTTTTGAATGTCAATTGCCTGATATATGATGAGGGGAAACTAATATTAAAAACTTACGTTTTGTTCCTAAACTACCTTGGTGTTTCTCTTTAAAGAAATCGGAAGCTTATGCAGGCTACCTGGGCTTAGAACAGTGTCTCTGGAAAGCTTAAGTGGCCTACATAACTATTCACGTCAGTTTAAAAACTTGGCTGTGATTCCTGTTTTCATTGTGGACTTGAGGAGATTTTGCATATAAAATATTTTGCACATTCATATATTTCAGCTAGATTTCATCTGAGTTTCGTGCTTAAGCACTGATAGTTCATGTCAAAACAAATTGTTATACTTTCTTTACACCTTTCTTCGTGCTGTGATTGACCTGCTTCCAAATGGTTCTGTGAGCAATTTTTCTGTTAGCGGGAGTTAGAATGATCAGAAATAACTAAGGGATAGTTTACTCTGACAAAAGAAACAGCTGCTTTTGGACTGAATTTGACTAAGTTTTTTCACTCTTACTTTAGAAGATAACTACTTCTGGAAAATTTTACCCTTCAAATGACCTAGTCCCAAAATACTTCTGATAATTTCCCCTAAACCTAATTATCTTTTGGCTTAATTTTGTTTATTTCATAGCTCCTTTAATTTTTTTTTTTTAAAAAAGGGAATTAGAGTACAAAAAAGATGGAAGATTGCTAAACATGGGCAAAGATTCGTTAAGTGGGATTCCAAAAGGCAGATGTTGGAAGCCTTGAGTTCTTATCCTTTTCTCTTCCTACTTGTCACAGTTTCCTGTAGCAGTTGTTTTTGTTCCTACTTTCCCCTTGCAAAATGTCTGAGTTAATACGCAACTCATATTTTTGACTGAGCCTTGCCTTAGAGTGCTTAACTAAAATTGACAAGCCCCCAAACAATACGAGCGAAGCTGCTGTTTCTTTTCTCAGATCTTACCAAGTGTGGTGCTGTACATTGTTTTGTCTCTCTAAAGGATTTCAGGTGGCTTCCCAAAAAGTGGGATAATGAACTGCCAAAGCAAACTCTTTGATTCAGGTGTCAGAAAGCACTTGGCAGTCACCTGAAAGGAAAAGTAGTGGTGCATTGAAAGAATTAACCTGTATGATAAAATGTTCCCTAGGGGAACAATCGCTGACCTGGATCACGTCAGAACTAATATTTTGGGGGGAAATTGCTTTTCCCTGTATGCCCTTTCTGGAAATAGGAGTAGTTCACACAAATGTATTGAGTCAGAAGGAATGAGGTGAAATTATTTTCATTTTGTACACTCACAGGTATGCACAAGTGTTGTGGTGATCAGCGTACTGCAGAAAAGAAGTAATCCGATGCCGAAGATCAAAACTTCTTAGAAGTGAGTACCCCCTGCCAAAAAGAGGATACTAGTAAAGGCCATCTGAGGCCTACAAGAGGCACAGCCTGCACATGCTATATCAGCATGTGGAACGAAATCCAGGGTGTATTTTGAGTTCTGTAAACAGTACTCATGATGATCTCACATTGCAGGCCACACTGATAACTTGGCCTGCAATGTGCAGGAGGTCAGACGGGATCATTGCGAGGGTCCCTTCTGGCCTCAAAGTCTGAGTCTTACTTGCCAGAAGCTTGGGAACTGCACTTAGCAAATATAGTCTCTTCTGCACTCCCATGCCCCCAAATCATCCTGGGTCACAGTGTCAGGTCTGTGGGCTGAACCCCTGGACTCCATCTTTGTTCTCCAGTCAGTGCGGTAAGATGCAGTGATCTGTTTTAGAGGTGATTAGGGGACCGCCTGTCCCATGGGATACTTTCTGCCCTGCAGCTGAGAACGTGATGGTTCAGGGACAGGAAGAGATGATGATGATGATGATGAAACTGCCATGCTGCAAGGATATGTAATGTAA